ATGAGCCACATAATGATCAGAAATCTGACTGAATATCATTTAAGGTGCCATAGTTATTATTCTGAATGTTCCCCTTACGGTAACAATGATCCTCGTGAACAAAATCCGTTGTCGAAGAGAATTTCAAGGTAGGAAAATATTGGAAATTATACGAGATTACTCAAAATATTAAACATGGTGTCCGGTCTCGCAATAGTAAGGACCCTCCTTGATCATCCCAAAAAGTTGATACCCTTGATAGAGGTCTTCGATGAGACAAACTCGGAAGAAAATGAGACCACCACGGTCAGAAGCATCGGGTTCTGATCGTGGTGGTCCCAATGACAACCCTCCCACATCCCGCACACACTCAGCTATCCGCAAGAAAGTCTGGCTTTTCGCAAATTGGAGGAGTCTTTTTCAAAAAAGCAGAGTCAAGTTGATTACTATTTCTGGAAAAAACATAGTTTCCTTTGTTGAATTATAATAGAACGACGAAGTAATATGCTCTCGAGGGTTCTCTGCCCATTTTGGGCTGTGACCATTGAGAATCGTGGCGGTGTCCGTGAGTGTATGGCTTGCACAAAACCTATAGGAACCAACCAATCTACCTACCCATATACCTTTTTCTCCTACGGTCATACAGTTTTGTATTGATTATTTCATCCGATCGGATCAATTGCTTGGTTAACCTCCCTAGACCATAATTGTGATAGTACCACGATCCTCTTTAGAAAAATAGTCAGGGGCTAGTAAGCAAATACTTCCGTTCACACTAATCATGATACTATTCCCAAAACTGAAAGGCTGCGGGTAGTTTCTGCATTCACGTAAATGAAGGGTCCATCCTATACTATTCCTGGACACTTCATCTGACTAAGGGTATTAGCGTTGCGAGTATCTCGGTATCCGAGTGTTAATGGAGCTGCCCTTAAGATTTTGAAGAACCGATCATCAGAGCTCCAGTAGGCCCACGGCATCTTTACTCGTCTGATCTCTTCAAACCCTCTGACGTAGCCTTATGTATTTGTATTTCAAAGGCAAATATTTCTAAGCCTTTCGAGTTAATGTTTCTTCCCGCTATCTACCACTTTTTTTCTGATAAAAAAATTATTTTTCCAGTTATTATTGGACTTCAAATAACAGATGTTGCTATTGGCACAGCTTTTATGCTCACGGGCATCTATAGATATAAAATGGTACTCAATTTCGGATCAGGTAAGTGTAAGCAATTATTAGAGAGTTTGAAAGAGTATGAGGTTTTCATGAACAACTTTTAGATATACCGACTGTACTTCGCTCAGAATGCACCAAAGAAGTGTTTGTACAATTAATGACTATCTCTTATCAAATGCAGGTAACGTGGTACTGTAATCTACAGTTCTACTCCAATCGCA